CTTTTGGGAAAACCCCCACACCCTAAAGAAAAAAAAAAAAAAAAAAAAGGCAAGACTGCTTTAGGAAGACAACCCCGTTTAAATTATCGATTTTAAAAATTCATGATAAAAATATCTTTACTTGGTTAGACAATTTAAGAAATTTTACATATGGACTTAGAATTAGATAATATCAAGGAATCATTGTATCATCAATTTCGTTATGGATGATAACAGGACAATGATTATGTTAGATAATATTCTTATCTTTTAAAAATACATAATAAAATTAAATGAGAAGAAATGGTCTCGGGAAATTGATTTAAAGCAAGAAAAAAATTGTAAAAATGAAGAAGTGAGACATGAAGTAAATATGGCAAAATCTGGGCAACTGTTCATCCGGATATATGGGAGTTTACTGTGCTATTCTATTTCTAAAGAAAAAAGATGTAACAGAAGAAAGGCATGGTGGGCAGCCAGCAGGTGGCATAGTGGCTAAGGTGCTGGACTCCCATGTAGTCAGCCATGGTTCAAGTAACAGACCTGGCAACTTGAAACCCACACTAGGCACACGTATGTGCATGTCCAAAATCCTGAGAAGAGAATGGGAGAGAAGGAACTGTGGCATGACTATCCCTCCTGGGGAGTGATTTCTCACTTTCCTTCTCTCTCTCTCTCTCTTTCTCTCTGTCACTCTCTGGAAAAGCACGCACACGCTGACAAATATTTTTTTTAAAAAAAGGCATGGTGGTGATGTTGACCTAACTAAAAAAACAGCTTGCTTTATGTTATCTATTGTCTATAAAGGAGTATTTCTGGGGACCAGCAGTTGGCATAATGGCTATGTCGCTGAACTCCCATGTAGTCGACCACAGCTTGAGTCCTGGACCTGGTGGCTTAAACTCAAGTCGGGCGCGTGTGCATGCGTGCCCATTCTCTGAAAGGAGAATGGAAGAAAAAGGATTGCGGTGTGGCCATTCCTCCAGGGGGTGATTTCTCGCTTTCTGTCTCTCTCTGCCTTTCTGGCAATTGCATACACCCTATCACAAAAACCTCTCCCCCACCCCCTCCAAAAAAAGGAGTATTTCTGGATAAGCATTATGCAGGTTCTAAAAAAGACAATTCATGAGGCTGAAATTCTTTAAAAGGTGGAATTTTATTTGTTTAAACCATGATCTAAAGTCAATAAGCAAAAATGTTAATGCATTATTTGCATATTGTTTTCCATGGTTTTGTACATGTGGTGGTTTTAAAACATGGGCCCCAATTCTTTGATACCTTTCCTACTGATATATATGGGGTCTGTGTCTCATCCTTGAATCTGAGCAGGATCGTATGTAGCCTACAGAACATAGTAGAAATGACTTCTGAGGTTAGGTAAAAAGGTAATTTCAGTTTTCACATTGCTTATTGGAACACTCGTGCTTCCAGATCTCAGTTGCTATTTAAGAAGTTTGATTTCCTTGAGGCCACCAGAAAGTGAGAAAGCTAGTTATATGGCAAGGCCATATATTGGCATTTTTAGTCTTTAGTCCTCCCAGGACAGAAATCAGACATGTGAGTACATGAGATGAAGGAAAAAAAAAGAGAGAGAGAGAGAGCTATAAAACACATGGGGGGAGTGGGAAAATTTGATTACGGACTGTGTATTAGAAGATCTCAGAGGGACCAGCAGGTGATGTGATGATTAAGGCGCTGGACACTCCCACGTGGCCAACCATGTTTGAGTCCTGGACCTGGTGGCTTGTGTTCTCACTTTCTCTCTCTCTCTCTCGCTCGCTCGCTTGCTCTGTGTTTCTCTCTGGTCAAATTAAAATAAATGAATGAATATATTAAATTAAATTTAAAAATAATTCTTTAAAAAATAAAAGATCTCAGAGAATTATAACTAACTTTATTAAGTATAAAAACTATAGAGTGGTTAGAAAGGGGAGTGTCCTATATATAAGAGACACTAAAGTATTAAAGGGTAAAATATATTATGGTGGCTGCCTTAGAAGCTCCTCAAAAGTACTTACTTTGATGTGTCTCAGCAAAAGCTCTAGATAATCAGATAGACAGGTAGATGAAACAACCACAGTAAAATGTGACAACTATAGAATCTAGATAATGAGAATTTAGGTGATCACGTACTATCTTTCAACTTTTACGTGTGCTTGAAAACTGTCATTCATTATAAAAAATTTAAAATAGTAAAGGAGACTAAGATTATAGTATCTGGAGCCTGCAGATGGCATGGTGGTTAAGGCATTGCACTCCTACATGGTTGACCATAGTTCAGGCCCCAGACCTAGTGGCGTAGAACTCATGTCAGATGAGTGTACATGTGTGTCCAAAATCCCAAGAGAAGAATGGAGTAGAAGAGAATGCAGCATGGCCATCTCCCTGGGGGTTGATTTTTCACGTTCCTTTTCTCTGTCTCTCTCCAGTAAGCACACGTGTCCTATGGCAAAAACCTAAAAAAAAAAAAACAAAAATGATAGTAACCAAATGCTATTGTATTCTGTGAATGAATCCTGGTTTGAATAGGTCAATCAAAACAGATATTTGGGTACAAAATGGATAAAGTTGGATAGGAATTAGAATTATATTTTTTCAAAGAATTAATTTATTTAACTTAATTTATTCATATATTTATTTATTTTAATTTGATCAGAGGGACAGAGTGGGAGAGAGAGAGAGAAGTAAAGTGAGAAAGCAAGCCGCCAGGTCCAGGACTCAAACTGTGGTTTGAGGGTCATGTGGGAGTCTAGAGACCTTAACCACCATGCCACCTGATGGCCTGGAATTGTATTATATTAAGAAATAGGGACCAGCAGTTGGCATAATGGCTATGTTGCTGGACTCCCATGTAGTCAAGTGCAGTTCGATTCCCGGACCTGTTGGCTTAAACTCACGCCAGGCGAGTGTGTGCATGTTCAAGATCCCGAGAGGAGAATGGAGGAGAAGGGATCGCGGTGTGGACATCCCCCTGAAGAGTGATTTCTTGCTTTCTGTCTCTCTGTCTCTCTCTTTCTAGCGAGCGCACGTGCCCATAGCAAAAACCTCTCTAAAAGAAAAGAAAAAAAGAAAGAAACGTTATTTTGCTTATGTGGTGTCATATAATGGTGCTATGGTCATGGGAAAAAAATTTTAAGAGATATATACAAAAGCACAAATGGTCCCTGACTTACCATAGTTAGACGTAGAATTTTAAAATTTTACAATGCTGTGAAAGCAATAAGTGTTCAGTAGAATACACTTAGAATACTCGTATAATCATTGTTTTTTACTTTCAGGACAGTATTCAATAAATTACATGATATATTTAACACTTTATTGTAAAACAGGCTTTGTGTCGAATTATTTTGTCCAATTGTAGGCTACTGTAAATGTTCTGAGAATGTTTAAGGTGGGCTAGGGTAGCAATAATATTCACTCGGTGAGGTGCATTAAGTATATTTTCAACTTCTGATATTTTCGACTGATGATGGGTTTACTGGGATGTAACCCCACTGTAAGTTGAGGAGCATCTGTATTTAGAACAAGAGGTCATGATGAGTGACATCGGTGAAAATGGCAAGTAAGGACCTCCGACATTTCATTTCTTATTTAAACCTATTAAAAATCATCACGATAAACTTTTTTTGAAACACTGGAAATTAAGCAAAGGCTTACAACAACCTGGAGAGTATTTGTCAAAGAAACACCCAATTCTCAGTAAGAATAGTGAGCTATGTGGTATTTTAATTCAACTTAGACACATTAACTTTTCTCTAGCTCACTGTTATCCTTGAAAAATAACAGCCCACATACCTAGTAATATAGTGAGCAAAAAGGAAATGGGGGGTTTCTTTCAAATCCTACTACTAAAAGCCTCTCCCTAGGATAATGTTCTGAAGGTATTAAAAGGCAAGTGCTTGATGTCACAGCAGCGTAACAATGGTAGAAACAACAGATGAATCCAAATGTTAAAGAAACAAAGGAAAGAGATCTCTGTAGAGGATTTGAAAAGCTCCCACATAATTGTGGGAATCTCTAAGTGTTATATATATGTGTGTGTGTGGAGGCTATGTGCAAGACAAGAAGGCTCTGAGTACTCAACTCTGGCTGATTTTGAGGTTCTGCATAAGCAGGAAGTGAAGGATAAGGCAGAATTATAAACTGCCTGGTTGAATGTTGAAGGTATACTCAGACAGGCTCACAAAATCCCTTCGCAAGCACTGGAGGATTGACTAGTTTCATATAATAAGAAAATCTCTGTCCTATTATTAAATAACCAAGTCAACAGAGAAGAGATGCCAGTGGACACACACAACAAAAACACAGAATTTTCAAAACAAATTCAGAAAATTCACAAAACGAATAACTGCAACACTTGGGAAAAATAAACCCTAGTGAGTGGAGCAGGGAGAATCTGATTTCCAGAGCTGCCATTTAAAATGTCCAGCTTTTGGGACCAGCAGATGGTGTAATGGTTACGTTGATGGACTTCTACATAGCCAACTGTGGTTTGAGTCTTGAACCCTGCAGCTTAAAACTTATGCTGGGTATGTGTGCATGTGTGGCTAAAATTCCAAGAAGAGAATAGAGGAGAAGGGATTGCAGTGTGCCATTCCCCCTGGGGGGAGGGGGGTAATTTCTCGCTTTCTGTCTCTCTGGCAAGCAACAGGCCCTATAGTAAAAATCTCTCTAAAAAAAAATGTCCAGTTTTCAACAAAAAATTACAAAACACCCAAAGAAACAACAAAATGTAACCATAGACAAGAAAGAACAACCAAGAGAAACAGTTCATGACCTCCTACACAAAACTGAACTTACTAGACAAGGATGTTAAATTATGTATTTTATTTATTTATTTGATTTTTGTTAATGGTGAAAAGGGATTCAGTTTCATCTTTCTGCAGGTGGATACCCAGTTTTTCCAGCACCATTTGCTAAATAGGTTTTCCTTTTCCCACTGGATTGACTGGTATCTTTGGCTAAAAATCAGTTAGCTGTATGTCTTGGAGTTTATTTCTGGTGTCTCTATTCTAATCCCTTGGTCCATCTGTGTGCTTTTGTGCCAATACCATGCTGTTCTGATTATCACAGTTTTATAGTATATTTTGGGATCATGGAGTAAGATGCCACTCACTCCACTCTTCTTGCACAGGATAGCTTTGGCAATACGAGGTCTTTTTTGATTCCAGACAAATTCTATGATTGTTTTTTCTAGATCTGTGAAGAACGTCTCTGGTAATTTGACTGGAATTGCATTAAATATGTAGATCAATTTGGATAGAACTCCCATTTTGATTGTATTAATTCATCTAATTCAGGAACATGAATTTTCTTTTATCACCCTCTAAATTCCATGTTCAATTCAATGATCATGCTTCCTCCCTTCCTCTGAGATGGCCTCTCAGTACAGGTGAGTGTTGGGCCTTGTAGATCTCAACAGTCATCAGAAATTTCCTCCTTGATAATGAAACTACCAGAGGGTTGAGATGATAGGATTGGAATGTTCTCAGAAGCCTTAGGCAACTTGCTAAAATCTGTTCAAGGTTATCTTCCTTTTATCTCAAGCCATATAAGATCAATAACCACATTCTTTTTTACCTTTGGTTTTGCTAGATTAATAGATCATTTTAGTTCCAGCATCTAACATGGTACCTGGCATACAGCAGGCACTGAACAAATGTTTTCTGAATAAACAAATGAGTGACTGAATCAGGTCTTCTTATATTCAATATCTCCCAACCTGTTTTTACACCTGACCACCCTAAAAAGTTTAAATACTAGAATACTAGCTCACCTTTAGGACTCCATGGAGCATCATCTGAATTCTTCTTTTTCTTGGGTCGAGATTTCAAAGCAGGGTCATCATCATCAGACTCCAGTGATGGGTAGACTACAGGGAGAGGAGAAAGCAGAGTAAACTCCAATCTCATTGAAGAAGGGTGAAGACAAAATGATACCTACTTTAGCTCCTCCTATTTCATTACAAGTATACCCTTTGCTTAACCCATATTCAAGTGCATGAGTCTATGAATGTGCCACATACATTTCCAGCCTTTCTACCTTTGTACCCTTCCTATAAATTTTTTTCCTAGATTACCCTAATTCTAAATAATTTGCCAACATCTATTTACTGAGTAACTGCATCAGTTACTTTACTCACTCTTCATAACTTAGCTCTAGACTGACATCTGACAAGAAGCCTTCCCCTACTCTCCTAATCTGATTGAGATGTTTCATTCTCAGTTCTCCCTAGCATCCTGTGCATATTTTTACTAAAGTTATTTTTTATATATTTAGTAAATCTGTTGGCCCCTATTTACCATAAGGGCAGGAAAATGCATTATTTGACTTTATAGTAAGGAAGTCTAACAATGCTGAGGTAATGCTCAGTATTAGTTGAATGAATGAAACAATAAATAGTACACAATTTACACAAAGAGAACAAAGAGACCACTGGGGCTGAACTGCAAACAAGATTACTAGAATTATGTGACCTGAAATATAAAATGCATAGACACGAGTATTCCATCTAACATAAACACATATAAAAATAGATTTTTATGTCACTATCCTCACAATTTATATGTAGCACACATAGGATTTAATGAGAAGACAGTCTAGAATGGTCCTGCTGATAACATTAACTTGCTGTGCTGCTGACTTCTTTCTTTTCTTATTTTCTTCTTTAGATTTTTGCCATAAGGCATATGCACTCCTCAGAGAAAGACGGAAAGTGAAAAATCAACCCTGAACTGGGGATGGCCATGCAGAAATCCCTTCTCCATTCTCCTCTCGGGATTTTGGGCACATATGCACATGCGCCTAGCATGTTTGTCAAGCTGCCAGGGCTGGGACTTGAATCAGAGTCAGCCATGTAGGATCTAGCCCCTTAACCACAATGTCACTTGTTTGCCCTACCACCTGACTTCTTAAAGAATTTTTTAAAGGTATCTTTTATCACTATTTTGCATTCAATGACTTTATATCATTAGAACATACAGAATGAATTTTCTCAGTATGAATACGCTGCATATTATCCAGTCAAAGATATTAATGGACTGAAAAAGTGCGGCATATATACACTATGGACTACTACTGAGCCATAAATAACATGGGACCAGCAGATGGCAAAATGGTAATATTGATGGACTCCCACATAGTTGACTGTGGTTTGAGTACCATACCCAGCAGTTTAAAATTCACACTGTGTGTGTGTGTGTGTGTGTGTGTGTGCGTGCACGTGCCCAAGATCCCAAAGGAGAATGGAGGAGAAGGGATTGTGGTATGGCCATCCCCCTTGAGGAGGCTGATTTCTTGCTTCTGTCCCTCTGTTTCTCGGGTGAGCCCACACACCCTATAGCAAAAATCACTCTAAAACAAACAAACAAACAAAAAACAAAGAGACCCTGGCATTTGATAGAAAATGGATGAATGCGGAAGATTTACTGCTAAGTGAAGCAAGTCAGACTACGAAAGAGAGGTATCATATGACCCCGATGAATAAATACCGAATGTCTGCACTCTATAGTAGAAACTGAAAGACTGGAAGGAATGCAGAATGTTTTAAAAGGGGGTCACTAATTGTCCCTAGAAAGAAGTGACTGGTAACACAGTTGTTTGAGGAAGGTCCATCCCTATAGCCCCAATAGTTGTCCAATCGTATTAGATCTGAAAGGTTTTTCCATCTCAAGGAAAGAACACAGTGCCATGGTAGAAAAACCTTGAGTCTCAAAGGTCAGACAATTACTAAAATCCTAGACTGGTGTACTAGCTTAAAAATTCTGGAGTCACCTACTAGTGGAATAGGAGAATTTCTCTAAGTTTCAGAATCTTTACTCATAAATTTGAAATAATAGACGCAGCCTGCCTTACAAAGTTTTAAATATTTTAAATATTAAGAGATAATATGTGCAAAGTAGAGCCAACTCCACAGCTTAGTAACAAAGGAAGCTAGACCCCACACAGCCAACCGCAGTTTGAATTCCAGCCCAGATCACTTAAAAAACATTCTGGGTACATGTACATACATGCCCCAAATCCCAACAGGATGCAGAAAAGAAGGAACAGAATGGAAAAATGGAGGAGCAGGATTACAGTGTGACAACATCCCACTGGGAGGTGTACTCTCTCCCCCTTCTTTCTTTCTCTGTCTCTCATCTCTCCGGTGAGCACATGTCCCTTCTGAAAACAAACAAAAAAAGATAAAAATGGAAGAAATCAAGATTTCAAATCAATAATCTAAACTTCTACCTTTGAAATTAGATAAAAAGGAACAAAATAAATTCATAGCAAGGATATAGATATTAGTAACAGACTCAAGAACATAGATTCAAGAAACTGAAAAGAGAAAATAGGAAACAATGAAACCAAAACCAATTAAATTGGCAAAATGCCAGCAAGAATGACTCAAAAGAAAAAAGAGAAAACACAAATTACTAATATCAACAATGGAAAGGGTGATATCATTAAAGATCCCATAGACTTTTAAAGGATAATAGTGATATACTAGGAACAACCATAGGTCCATGAATTCTACAACTTAGACAAAATGGACCAATTCGTTGAAAGACACAAAGTACAATTTGCCAAAGATGAAAAGAATAACCTGAAAATCCTATATCTACTGAAACAAAATTAATGTACTGTTAAATCCTAAAAATAAATCTCCAAATTCATGTTTTCTCACTCCTAAATTCTACTAAAAATGTAAAGAGACCAATTTCATACAACCTCTAATTCTACTCTGACATATGAATCTGAAAGTAATGAAAACATATGTTTGTAGAGATGTATGCACAGAAATGTCTATTAGAACATTTTTTATAACAGCAAAAAAACAGAAACCAAAATGCCCATCAGCAGATAAATGAATAATCAAATTGGTGTATATCCACACAACGGAACACTCATAAGCAATAAAAAGGAACTGCTGATATGCAACAAAATAAATGAATGTTGATTTTTCTTAAAGAATTATTTATTTAACTTTATTTATTCATTAATTTTTTATTTTTAATTTGACCAGAACGACACAGAGAGAGAGAGAGGGAAAGTGAGAAAGTAAGCCACCAGGTCCGAGACTTGAACTGTGGTCGGCCACGTGGGAGTCCGGCACCATTATCTACTATGCCACCTGCCGGCCCCAATAAATGAGTTTTAAAGGCATTATTCTGAGTTAAAAGATGCCAGTCTCAAAATATTACATATTATATAATTCTACTGGTATGAAATTCCGAAAAAGGCAAAACCACGGTGACACAGAGATCAATCAGGGTTAGAAGTAAGAAGAGGGCATGACTACAAAGGAGTATTAACATACAGAATTTTAGGTAGGTGATCAAAGTAGTTTGTATTCTGATTATGGTAGTGGCAAGAACCTAAACATATATACAAAAAAATCTATTCTACTTTATGTTAATTTAAAAATTAAAACTATAAAAATAGTTCATCAAAAGGGAGGCTGAAAATAAATAACAGAGGAGACCAAACTATAGCATGTAGGTTAAAGCACTATATCCCACATGGCACAGTGTGTAGTTTCAGTCCCAGATCCAGAGGGCTGAAAATCACACCAGATGCATCTGCATGTGTACCGAAAATCTCAAGGGACTGTGGCATGGCCATCCCCACTGGGAGGTGATTTGTCACTTCCCCTCTCTCTCTCTCTCTTCTCTCTCTGTCTGTCTCTAGTAAGCACAAAGACCACATAGCAAAAGAGAGAGAGAGAGAGAGAGAGAGGAAGGAAAAAAGATGAATTCAAAATATATTTTAAAAATTAAATAAATAGGGGGCCAGTAGGTGATGGTGGTTAAAGGCACTGGATTCCCACCTGGCTGACCATAGTTCAAATCCCAGACCTGGCAACTTCCTTTCTTGCTTTCTCTTTCTCTCTGTCTCTGTTCAGATTGAAGACTAATAAGAAAAAAATGGAATTAAAAATAAAGAAATTATTATTTTGGGACCAGCAATTGGCATAATGGCTATGTCACTAGACTCCCATGTAGTTGACCGCGGTTCAAGTCCTGGACCCTGTAGCTTAAACTCACGCCAGGCACGTGTGCATGTATGCCCAAGATCCCAAGAGGTGAATGGAGAAGAAGGGATTGCAGCATGGCCATCCCCGCTGGAGGGTGATTTCTCGCTTTCTGTTTCTCTGTCTCTCTCTGTCTTTCTGGTGAGTGCACGCACCCTATAGCAAAAACCTCTCCCAAAAATAAATAAGTAAATAAATAAATATTTTTTTAATTAAATAAATATAGCTTTCAACTCAAGATGTTACACAAAGAACATTTAAAAAAAGAAATATAATAAAATCAGAAATAAAGCAGTAAACAAATTCTAAACATTAGAGGTGATCAATAAAACCAAGTAACTAATTTCTGAAAAGATCAGTCATCAAATAAATTAGACATGCTAATGTTAAACACCAAGATAGATATGGCAGGCTGCTTGTGGTGGGAGGCTATAGGGCAGAGACCTATGGCTCATCCCCTTCCCTACTTACTTTTGAACTCTCAGGGATATTGCTTGGGACTTTGAGAAGACCTCGTGCCCCTCCCTGCCCCATCTGGACATCCATTCCTGTGCAGGTAGACTGAGCTGCAAAGAGACTGTAGCTTATCCCCTGCCACACACCTCTGAATTCTGAGACTTCACCATTTTCTGAAGTGTGGATAGATCCTTTATATTTTTCTGAGTTGAAGCTCAGCAGGGCAGTGTCAGGCACAACTGTTCTCTACTTACTGGCAGTTCTTCAAATCATCCAAGACCAATGACAACAATGTAGACTGCTAGTTAGCATCAGGGAGGTAGAGCAGCAGAGATTACTAATCACCTATTCTCGCACACCTTTGAATGCTCAGAATTAACTCAGAGAAATTAGGAAAGAAC